CCCATCGAAAACGTACCGCAAGGCATTACAGGGTAGTAAAGAACTTTTCGGCAAAATCCAAAAACAGGTCAAATTTGTTTCTGAGGGGGACAACTTTTGGCTCAAAAAGCATACCAAAATCTTCAACCCCCTAAGTGGGGGTGCTATCCCCTAAATTTTTTCAAATGGGAATGGGAGTCAAGTGGGGGGTCATTAGAAAGGGCTTTTAATTCTCTATACATCGATTCTTAATTTGAAAAAATTTAGGGGATAGCACCCCCACTTAGGGGGTTGAAGATTTTGGTATGCTTTTTGAGCCAAAAGTTGTCCCCCTCAGAAACAAATTTGACCTGTTTTTGGATTTTGCCGAAAAGTTCTTTACTACGCTGTAATGCCTTGCGGTACGTGTTCGATGGGCTACCCTGTATATGTATGTAGCTTTGTTTATAAACATCTTAAAAACGACAAAATCCAAACAACCAGGGTGACTTTGCAAGATTTCTCATAACGTTAAAATGAATTGATTAAGAAATGTCAAAAAATAAAACCTAATCTTTATTTCGTGAACCATGTTGTTAAGTATAATTTACCAGTCTCGGACATTACAGCCAGCCCTCGCTCCGCTCGGGCGCAAATGCGTTCTCGACTTTTAAATAATACTTACCTCCTTTATGGTGTAAATAACTATTAAGTGAGTCCTGCTTAATTAGTAAAACTACTACCAAAATTTGAAAGGATAAAAAAGACTTCATAGCACTTGCAAATTTATTTTAGAGCAATCGTACAAGCTATTGCCTTAGTTCTAACGACACCTTATATCCGTCTGTGGGTCTCAGGACTAAATTAGCCTTGAGCTTGATATCCTGGATACTCCCGTAGGACGTGCTGACCTTGAACTTTCTCAACACCGTCGCCAGAAGCGTCTTCATGGCCATCATAGCGTACTTGATCCCTGTAACAAAACCACAATCGCACGTTTCCAAATTCAAGCCTAGTGTGGTGATTTTACATACCTAGACAGTTCCTAGGGCCATAGGAGAAGGGCAAATAGGTGCAAGGGTGCCTTTTGGCGACCTCTTCCGGTAGGAATCGGTCCGGATCGAACTTGAAGGGCTCCGGCCAATATTTCTCATTGGTGTGGGTCCTCAGGATCCCAAAGATCACAGAGGTTCCTCCCGGGATCAAGTGGTCACCTGAAATATTTCGGGGTTACAGAAGTACAAGCAATTTTAAACTCTCACCTAGATCGACGTCTTCCTCGATGGCCCTGACGATGACACCAGCCACAGGGAACAGTCTGAGGGTCTCTTTGATGAACCTATCCATATACTTGAGTTTGACCAAGTCTTCTCTTTCCACGGGTCTACTTGGACCTACCACTTCGATTATCTCTTCATAGACTTTCTCCTGGGAAGCTAAATGCGTAAACTAACAAAGCGCTATGGCCTCGAAACTTACCTGTAGGTCCTTGTGGAGCCCTAGCATGAGGAAGACGTAGGAATTTGTAGAAGCCGTTGTATCGGAACCCTAAAAAGTATCGACTTTGTACGGCTGTCTATTACAACCCGTTTTACTCACAGCAATGATAAAGGTGTCGACTTCATCTCTCAATTCCCTTTCAGTAAACTGGTTTCCCTGGCTGGTGATCTCTATTAAGTGATCCAAAAACGTTTTCTTCCTCGAGTCTGAAACAAACCGTTTCAGTATTTGGCCAATAAAACTGAACCGTACTACCTTCTTCGAAATACAGTTTGTTCGCTTTCCTAGATTCGTCAAACAATCGTTTCCGTTGCCTGACCACCTGAAAACAAAGATTTCTTCTTAGATTCTCTCAAAATATTGTCGTTAGCGTTAAGACGGTGTAAGAAAGGGACCCAGTATGCTACCTTGGGGTGCGCTTTTATATATTACAGGGTATCCCACAGTGACGAGACGTTAGATATATTTCAGAGACTACTTCGATTTTAATTTTGAAAATTTGGTCAATAGCGTTTTCAGACATGCCTTTCTCAACTAATATAATGACGTCCACCTAACGATTCCGGTTATACCGGAAGATGACGTCTTCTTCGTTATTTTAAAAGAATTTAGATTCTACTTCAATTTTTAAGTGAACTTTCATAAAGGTTTCCTATTCTTAAAGTTAACCGTTTTTGATATATTTAACTTTTCTGAAAAAAAAAAAAAAAAATTGAAAAAGCACTGCCTAATTCAATAAGATGTGTATTTTACAATAATAAAGTTAAAGCGATAAAAAAGTGACCGCAGAAAAAGCCATTTTTCCCCTTTTTTGAGACTTTGACAGAGGCGACAGGGAAAAACCTAAAAATATTACTTTCAGTTTTTCGAAAATCACCCATTTAGGTGTTGAAAAGACAAAAAAAGTGAACAAATTAAGAATCATCAACAGTTGTAAAACCCCAAATATTTCTTTGTTGTTATCAAAATAATATTATGAACGTGAAAATATCTAATTCGGTGTTTGATACGGTCTTGTAAGAATTGAAAATCAACACTTAATATCCCTAAAGGGGTGAAATCATCCCCTAAACGCCTAAAAATGCAAAAAATATATTAAAAGTTACAATTTTATTTATTTTTCTTTTATACGTGATAATTGAACCGTTAATAACCCAGAATCACTAGATCCGAAGAAAAATACCCCTAAATGAGGGTAAAACCACCCCAAAGTTCAACTATCGGCTTCAAAATACATAAAATAATTATAATGCATGAAAAAAATAATGTTTCGAAATACATTCATTAGAAAAATTTATACACGAGTACTCCCATACATTATTATCAATCATTTTAAAAAATAATCATCCCTCTCAAGGGGTAAAATCATCCCCCAAATATACAAAAATTGTAAATAATATAAAAAAAAATTTTAAAAATTTATTATTATCATACTTGAAGTTTGAGTAACTTCTAATTGTCACATCAGGTGGAAAACACCCCCAAAGTAGGGTAAACCACTTGTGTATAAATTATTCTAATGAATGTATTTCGAAACATTATTTTTTTCATGCATTATAATTATTTTATGTACTTTGAACCCGATGGTTGAACTTAGGGGTGGTTTTACCCTCATTTGGGGGTATTTTCCTTCGGATCTAATGATTGTGGGTTATTAAAATTTATACACGAGTACTCCCATACATTATTATCAATCATTTTAAAAAANCCGATGATTTTCACCCATTTTATATATCGCGTTGACACAATTAGGTAATTATTTTGACAACTATCTGACACTTGCTACGCAAATAAAAGCCAAAGTGATTATTCCCGAGAATAATCACAAGAGATTTATTCCCACTATAATAATGACATAATTGGTTGAAACTTACCCTTGTGACAAATAAAGAAGCATTTCATTGGTTTTAAGAAACGTCAAAAAATAATCAAAATAATATTATGAACGTGAAAATATCTAATTTCGTGTTTGATACGGTCTTGTAAGAATTGAAACTCAACACTTAATATCCCTAAAGGGGTGAAATCATCCCCTAAACGCCTAAAAATGCAAAACATATATTAAAAGTTACAATTTTCTTTCTTTTTCTTTTATACGTGATAATTGAACCGTTAATAACCCAGAATCACTAGATCCGAAGAAAAATACCCCTAAATGAGGGTAAAACCACCCCTAAGTTCAACTATCGGCTTCAAAGTACGAAAATAATTATAATGCGTGAAAAAAATAATGTTTTGAAATACATTCATTAGAATAATTTATACACAAGTACTCCCATACATTATCAATCATTTTCAAAAATAATCATCCCTCTCAAGGGGTAAAATCATCCCCCAAATATACAAAAATTGTAAATAATATAAAAAAAAATTTAAAAAATTTATTATTATCATACTTGAAGTTTGAATAACTTCTAATTGTCACATCAGGTGGAAAACACCCCCAAAGTAGGGTAAACCACTTGTGTATAAATTATTCTAATGAATGTATTTCGAAACATTATTTTTTTCATGCATTATAATTATTTTATGTACTTTGAACCCGATGGTTGAACTTAGGGGTGGTTTTACCCTCATTTAGGGGTATTTTCCTTCGGATCTAGTGATTGTGGGTTATTAACGGTTCAATTATCACTTATAAAAGAAAAAGAAAAAAAATTGTAACCTTTAAAATAGTTTTAGCATTTTTAGGCGTTTAGGGGATGATTTCACCCCTTTAGGGATGTTAAGGATTGATTTTGAATCAGGATAAGATCGTAACAAATACGGAATTAGATATTTTCATGATCATAATATTATTTTGATAACAACATAGAAACATTTGAATATTTTTACAATATTTTTAGGATTTTTCCTGTGGCCTCTGTCAAAGTCCCAAATACAGGCGGATTCTCTTTCTTCTTCTCTTCTCTTTATAGACGACGTAACTAAAACTCTAAGCTTCTCTGCCATAATTTCAAAAAAATGACTTAATTTCATACAGGGTGGTAGAATTTTAATGCCGAATTTAGTCAAATTTAAACCATCTTAACTTTTTTTTTAAATGGAACACCCTGTATATTTTTTCGCAACCTGATGAACAATTTTGTTCTCTTCTGGTTTTAAGGTATTTACTGTTTTTCGTGAAGTCAACGGATATCGCAAAATTTCTTGCGAGGATGGCTGTGATTTTTTTAATGGAACTTCAAAACAAGCACCTAATCTGTCACCAGTTTATTGTTGTCAATTTAACACACACAGTGAATGTTTATTTGAGTATCATTATTATTGTTAAGCCTGTGATTTTTGCCCGTTTTTTCACAATTCGCAGAGAATTTAAAAAATCATAAAAATATGTTTTTGGTCGCAAATTACTTGTAAAAAACTGAAATGAGCATAGCTTTTGGTATTTTGAAAATTTTAAAAACTACCCCTTCTTGAGGGTTGAAAAAATACCTAAAATTAAGAATTTGAATATTACCAATTGTTATAAAAACTATTAGCATGTGAATTATCTTAACATATTTTTTTTGGAATTTTTATAATTATTTCTGATATTCTCTATTTTCGGGGGTGATTCAACCCACTGAGCGCGCGAAGGGTGGATTTTCTAGTTCAACATGCTTATTTCAGTCATGGGAATAAATCTTTCTTTAGATCAAGAATCGTTCGATAGAAAAATGCACATGCTAATAGTTTTTATATTTATTGACAATATTCAATTCTTCATTTTGGGCGCCTTTTCAACCCCTAAATAGGGGCGATTTTTGAAAATTTTCAAAAAACTAAAAGCTATGTACATCTTAATTTTTTACGACGAGTAGTTTAAGACCAAAAACATATTTTTATCTATTTTCTTTAGTTTAGTTTTAATTAGGCAGTGCTTTTTTATTTTTTTTGAAAAAAATTAAATATATCAAAAACGGTTAACTTTAACATTTATGAAAGTACACCTAAAAATTGACGTAGAATCTAAAAATTGCAATAATATACAGGGTTTTCCATTTAAAACAACGAAGATGACGTCAACTTCCGGTATAACTGNAAAAATGCCAAAAATGAAGAATTTGAATATTACCAATTGATATAAAAACTATTAGCATGTGAATTATCTTAATATATTTTTTTTTGGAATTTTTATAATTATTTCTGATATTCTCTATTTTTAGGGGTGATTCAACCCACTGAGCGCGCGAAGGGTGGATTTTCTAGTTCAACATGCTTATTTCAGTCATGAGAATAAATCTTTCTTTATATCAAGAATCGTTCGATAGGAAAATTCACATGCTAATAGTTTTGATATTTATTGGAAATTTCCAATTCTTCATTTTGGGCGTCGTTTCAACCCCCAAATAGGGGTGATTTTTGAAAATTTTCAAAAAACTAAAAGCTATGGTCATCTTAATTTTTTACGACTGGTAATTTGAGACCAAAAACATATTTTTATCTATTTTCTATAGTTTAGTTTTAATTAGGCAGTGCTTTTTTATTTATTTTGAAAAAAAATAAATATATCAAAAACAGTTAACTTTAACATTTATGAAAGTACACCTAAAAATTGACGTAGAATCTAAAAATTGCAATAATATACAAGGTGTTCCATTTAAAATAACGAAGATGACGTCAACTTCCGGTATAACCGGAAGCGTTAGGTGGACGCCATTATTTTAGTTGAAAAGGACATGCCCAAAAACAGTATTGCCCAAATTTTCAAAATTAAAATCGAAATAGTCTCTAAAATATATCTAATGTCTCTTGGTACACCCTGTATGTAAGGATTTTATACTCACTGAGCCAGAGAAGTCATGTAGGGTTTTTAGAGAAGCTTTATATGCCTTGGACCTAGCTGTGAGATTGAAAATGGCGTCGTAGTGGTACCAAATCACAAAAGCTCGGAGAAAAATATTTTCCAGTATTCTGAAGCATAAAAATGAACCAAATCAGTATAAATTTTTATACAAATTACACTGGAATGTACTTAAAAAGATATGCTTGTTTGCCAGATTTAAAATTGAAGAATTTCTCTTTTTATTTGAGATGAAACTAGTTTTTTTTATTTATTTTGATACAACACATACGAAATTTATTTTGAAACGTATTATTCGATGCTACAAGCGTGCCCATTTTATAAAGTTGCTCTCTTCAGTCCACCTTGACATGAACCATAAAACCTGTTTTTAAATGTTTTATTACACTTGTGATACACAATTTCATCAATTCTTACGTTTAGAGAATAATAAAACAATTACTTGTCGGTAAAAGTACTCTACCTTTGATGGCCTTTGTTATAAATACCACGAAAATTTCAATGACGAGAATTTTAATATTTATTAACGTAAAAAATAAATACAGGGAATAGCAAAAATTGCAGTCCAACTAAGTTTTATTGACAAATCTGCAAAAATTATTTAAATAAGCACTACAAAAATTTATGTGACGTTTGTTTTAATATAATATGTTAAAAAAACATACAGAATTGAAAAAAAATAATTAATTTACACCTACCTGTCAATGCACGTAGAAAGTGACGTATCGGCACTAGTTTGGGTGTTTACTTTCACCCCCATTGCAGTTTCTGAAAAAGGAAGAACAATAGTTAAGCACAGAATACCTCAGGGTCCTCTTCCGGGCCCAGTACTCACCGCAGATGATATCTAACGTGCATTTCGACATAATATCGAATATGTCAAACTCCCCTTCCCCTGCAAACTTCCTCATCTGCTCTACCAAAATCTCGGACTGCTCCGAAAAAATCTCCACGAACCCATCTAGAATTTTTTGGCTGAAAGTCGGCATTATGATTTTCCTGTGCCTCTTCCACTTGTCCACTACGAAATGTGTTTTAGTTAGTACACGGTGTGCCTCATGGAACGCCCCTGAGGGCATTGATAAGGGGATACTTACAGGGGGCTGCGAATAATCCATGACCAATAGCCGCTTCGGAGTATTTGTACCACCTCTCCTTAGCCAAACAATGGGGTAGTAATATTTCATAGTATTTGGGATCGGAGACGGCGTAGAACAATCTAGGACCGAACCAGACACGGAATATGCCCGGATATTGATTGTACATCTTCATAATGTTGGAAAATATGTCTGGAAATACCGGAAAATCATTAGAGTCGTGTATTAACGGCTCTGTAGATATTTATTTCTCACCGTATGGGCTGCCGATGAAGTGTAGAGCTGATCCCACCAAAGGAAAAGCGAATGGTCCTGGTAGTTTCCTGGAACACTCGTAGAGTTTCCTTCTGCTCCAGAGAAACTGCAAGTACCAAGTCAACAGGGTGCAAGTCAGGGCGACCAGCAGGAGCTCCAAAGCCGTCCAAGTGTGGGAGAAGGAGCTCTCACGTCTTATAAATGTTGAGAATATTTCTCCCATAGCGGCTCTTTATGATTCTAATGTATAATTTTGTTAATATACAATTTATTTGTATATAAAACGTTTAAAAATGTTTTTTGCCTCAAATTCAATTATTTCCTGGTAGACCAGGGCGGATCTGTCGAAATATTCCACTTCTGAGATGTAAGAGGGGGTTAATTTTTGCTGAAATACCTTCAGTGCAACTCACATAATAAAAGTGTTGATCCCTAGATCTGGGCGAGGTCCGGAACATCTTCAAAATTGCAAAAATGTTTAAAAAATTTAAAAAATACCTTTCTTATCTGAGTTTTTTACTTATATCTTGGACCCTATCTATTTTGGAAGAATATTGAAGAGAAAAAAATTTAGAATTGAATTTTGCACAATATGCTGAAAGTTACAAATGTTTAAATTTTTACCGATGTTGCAAAATAGCAATAATTTATGAAACAATGGTAAAATAATCAAGTTTTTTGGATAATTTTTTAAAAATATTTTAATTGCTCCGAGGGCATTCTAATTTTGGTAAAAAAAACTTTAGAGTATAATAAAATAACACGCCAAATTTTATTAAAATCGGTTAGATAGTTTTCGCAAAATAATTTTTTTAAAAAAGTTTCCATCTTTTCTTTCATTCCGATGTCTCGCTAGCCAAGGAATTCGAATATCGTAATGCCAACTGTCTAATTTGCACATATTTTGTTGTAAATAAATATTATTGCATTAAATATACTGTATATTTTACCCTATGCTATTGCATTTTTTCAATGAAAAGTTTGTTTACATATACAGGGTGGGCCACCAGTAACGCCTCGGTCGCTAGTGACCAAACGGTAAATGTTACAGGAACCTGTTTAGGTGGGTATGTGTAGGTTGATTATGGCTACATTTTAAAAATATTTTGAGATATACAGGGTGTCCAGGAAAAGCGTACCATATCAAAGTTATGTTTTTTTAAATGGAACACCCTGTATTTTACTGCATTTTTGAAAGCACCGTAAAAAAATAGGTGAACTTTATTAAAGGTTCTGCATACCTAGGACTTACAGTTTGTGAGATATTTCAATTTAAGTGAAAATGCAGGCATAGCGTAGAAATTTAATATTAGCAATAAAAAAATAATTTTAAGGAAGCAGCTTTGGAGGGTCTA